ATCGGATGACTTGATAGGTTGCGGAATGATCAGGAATGGGAATGAGAGCAGAATGCATGAGTGGGAAGGATATCCCACTGGGAAATCTGACAACTCAACTTTTTTTTTTTTTAAGATTTTATTTTATTTTATTTTTTTAAGATTTTATTTATTTATTTGACAGACAGAGATCACAAGTAGGCAGAGAGACAGGCAGAGAGGGGCGGGGGGGAAGCAGGCTCCCCGCCAAGCAGAGAGCCCAAAGTGGGGCTCGATCCCAGGACCCTGGGATCATGACCTGAGCCGAAGGCAGAGGCTTTAACCCGCTGAGCCACCCAGGCGCCCCTTAAGATTTTATTTTTAAGTCATCTCTATACCCAATGTGGGGCTCAAACCCATAACCCTGAGATCGAGAGCCACCGGCTCCACCAACTGAGCCAGCCAGGCACCCCAACAACCCAACTTTCTTGACTCAGTTTCTCTTTAGAGTCTCTAGTCATGAGTTTGCTTACATTTCCTTTCAATCTTAAAAATCTGCTTTCCTATAGTCCACTTCTTGTGTCTAACTGTGCTTAGTTTCTCTTCTTTGGTTAATAGGAATCCCAGGAGACATGAATATAAGTCCCATGTAAGCACTGACCAGAATGAAGCTGGTGTACTTGGCCTAGTATCAGACAAAACAGACTTTGGGGTGAGGTGAAGAGGACATAATGAGGAAAGGATCCATTAAGACAGAAGTGTTACAGTTCTAAATGTGTACAATCTATTAACACAGTCTCCAAATAGAGATCAGAGAACTAAATGGAGAAATAGACAAATCCCTATCATGGTGACAGATTTAAACATATCTCTGTAAGAAGCGGAGAGAACAAGCAGCCAAGAAAATTCTACAGGGAGGTATAGATGTGAACAACATAATTAATTAACTGGACCTGACTGACATTTAGAGAACACTGTAGCCCAAAACTATAGAATATACCCTCTTTTCAAGTGTTCATGGAACATACACAAAAATTGACTGTACAATTGGCCAAAAAGCAAGTTGCCACAGAGTCTAAATCCGTGCATACAATGTAAGTTTTCTGACCACAGTGGCAGCTAAATGAGTACGTCCACATTGTAAAAATCCATCCAGCTGCACACTTATATCTGGCTCTTCTATTACATATATTTTCTCTGTACTGTGACATACATTTCTGCAGCCTGTCACAAGCTCCCTTCCACCAAGTATCAAAATACCTTTGCTATTTTATATACCTTTTTGTGTTTATTATTCGTCTGTATATGTCTCTAAATCCCCATGTTCTACATGGCACGTACTTTATATATATTGTCCTAATAAACTTCCACAACTATCCAAAGAGATGTCTTTTAACGCCTATTTTGCAGATAAAGAAAGTGAGAGTTGGAATAGCTAAAAAGTAACTGGCGGTGGCCACTATGTAGCCTTTGCTTGTTACATAATTGCATGCTACCCTTAGAAGTAACTCCTATAAGCCAGGTTCTGGTGGAGTTGTCAGCCATACAAAATGGAAATCAGCAAAGGCAGAGAGCCATTGAAGTTACAAGACAGCATCCTAAGTTTGTACCATATCCCATTCTCCCAGTTTTCGTGTCCTTCATGGAATCCAGTTATATAATATTATCTGGTTATTTTTCTCCCTTTTCCTTCAGTTTTAAAGCCCTCTGGATGAGGACAGCAAGTGTCCTGCCAAATACATTCTTCTAATTCTTATGAAATTCAGAATAATAACAAAAGGGACTGCAAGCTTCCCAAACAGGGGAAATGGTGAGCAAATGCCAGGGTCAGGAGGGAGTCAAGTCTACTTAGGCCACTAAGTGGTGGTGGCAGGTGCAGAACGAGAAGTCTGGATAGGCAGGGTGATGCCAGATTCCAGCTACTGATTGCTGAAAAGACCAGGCCAAGTCATGTGCCTGAGCCACTAGGCAACAAGGACTTATTATAAATTATCAACTCCAACCAGAAGATAAAAATGTTATTTTTAAATTTTATTTTTTTTAAGATTTTTAAGTTATCTCTACACCCAGTGTGGTGCCCAAACTCACAACCCTGAGCTCGAGAGCCACATGTCCCACTGACTGAGCCAGCCAGGCACCCCAAGAAATCAATTCTCTTTTTAAGTAAGCTCTATGCCTCTTGCTGGTCTCGAACTCACCACTCTGAGATCAGGAGTCTCATGCTCTGCTGACTGAGCCAGCCAGGCACCCAAAAATGTTATTTTAAGATTGTTCAGGTGGCAATGTTTCAAAAAGGCTGAAATTGGAAGATTCTGGAAGTTGGCAGGCTGGTAAGGCTCGTCAAGAGCCTACTGAGAATCTGTGTTGTTCCTGTGGGGCTCTGCAGGTCAGGGACTGCTAGCTGGTTCCTGCCTTGAAGGAGCTCCAGTCAGCTGGAAGGGGTTAACAACAAAAATGTCAGGTGGTGGATAGGACATGGGTAGGGGCAGACAAAGTCTGGTGAGAGGGAAGAGCTCGGTGTGGTCTGGAAAGAAAGGCAGAGAAGGCAAGGGGACGGAGAGCTGGTACACCCCAGCCCCCCAGGCTCACCTGCCAAAATAGTTAATGACGAAAGGGAAGAACTTTACAAGGCAAAGTAATGGGTTGGAACAGCCGATCAAGATTATGAGCGAAACAGTTAATGAGGGAGAAAGGAATGTTCTCTTAACATCGATGATCAAGCCAGAGGGCACGATCGGTCCTGTGGCAGGCCAGCTCGGTTTACCTCCAAGACCCTCTCTGACCCTCACTGGCTAAACAGAAGAATTCAAATCATGTAGGTTGGCAGGCTGGAATGGGAGCTAAAAATCTAGTTTATGGTGATAGAAGATAGAACAGATCAAGGATGGGGCACCTGGGTGGCTCAAGTGGTTCAGCATCTGCTTCGTTTCAGGTCATAAACCTGGGGTCCTGGGATGGAGCCCCGTATCATGCTCCCTGCTCAGTGGGGAGTTTGCTCCTCCCTCTGCCTCTGCTCCTCCCCCAAGATTGTTCTTTCTCTCTCAAATGAATAAAATCTTAAAAAAGAAAGGAAGGAAGGAAGGAAGGAAGGATGGAAGGAAGGAAAGAAGGAAGAAAAAATTAAGAATGGAAGTGGAAGGGGGCTCCAGAAAAATTCTGGGGTTTTCTGTGTCCTAGATCTTATCAGGATAGTTGTTACAAGTGAGCATACAATTGTCAAAACTCAATGAACTGAACACTTAACTGCATTTTATTGTAGGAAAAATACACTTCAAGAAAGAGAGAGAGAGACTATAATCCAATTATAATATTTGAGAAGGGGAGGGAAGAGACCAGAATAGTTAAGATGCAAACAAAGAGGGAAACTAGACCCCAGGAAAACCTTCCAACCAGTCTGAGAGCCAAAGGGATGTGGGTATTCAAGGAAGGAAGAACAGATACCTTTTGCCAAACCTTGGCCTAGACTCCCTTATTTCAATTTCTCTGCAGACCCAACACTACCCACCTAAGTTCAGATGGTAACGTGCTGTGGTTCGCCCCGGGAGAGGAAGGGAGAGCCATGAGAAGCTGGAGAGCCCAGACGGAACGGCAGATTTTATGGTAGTGCAGGGTGGGCTGTGAGGCTTTGATGTAAAAGTCGTAGGGGGGCCTGGGTCCTCCAGCCCAAGAGGCAGAAGGGGAGAGAAAGGCAAGGAAGGCAGGCTATGTCCAAAGGGATTTCTCCAGAAACTTGAAAATTCAGAAAATTGGACCCATCTGTAACCCAACTTTCTCTTCCAGAAATAAAGGAATAGAATTTTATTCATTTATATTTTTTATTTGAAAGTAGTCTCTACACCAAACATGGAGCTCGAACTTACAACCCGCAGATCAAGAGCAGCATGCTTTACAGACCCAGCCAGCCAAGCACCTCAAGGAATAAAAGCTTCAAATACCAAACCGAGGAAGCCAGAGCTCTGATGTGAAAATACATGAAAGGTCTGGGAAGACATGCATGGAATTGTGCTGCACGCTCGAGGGAAGTTATATGCCAGCTTCGTAGTGTTGAATGTCTGTCAGCAAGCTTTCTCACTCTATCAGTTTTGTTCAACCCAGTGCTGGATCAAAGAACAACATTGATAGAAACTGGGGCCTGTCTTTGGTGGCGCCGGAGTCCTCCTCCTCACACCTGCAAACAATGTTTGACACACTTGTGGCCATGCAGAGTGACATCCGTCACTCACTGCTGGGCACCGCCCTTTGGTTTCCTCAAGCCAGTGACAAACCCTCAGTGAAGTGAGGTTGGGGCCAGGGACCTGAAGGTCTGGGGCAAGGGCAGGCACACCTCATCTAGAAAGGACTAGAGAGTAAAAATGTTAGGATCTGAAGGACATATAGTGTCTGTCACTCTGTTCTGCCATTTTTGCAGAGAATCAGCCAGAGACCATTTGTCACAAACGGCACGGAAGCAGGGCTGACGGAGGCCTGTCTGCTGAGCTCGGGAGCAGCGGGCTCGGCTCCAGACGGCGCATCACATTCACTGCAAAGGCTCGCAAAACCACTACCACCCAGGTCCCACCCCCAAGATTCCAAATCTCCGATAGCGCCCAAACATTTTTTTTTTTTTAATTTGTTTGCTTTTAGGTACCAAGTGATTCTGATGTGTATCCTGGGCTGAAAACAATTGTTCTAGGGGCGCCTGGGTGGCCCAGTCCAGTGAAGCATTTGCCTTCAGCTCAGGTCATGATCCCGGGGTCCTGGGATCGAGCCCCACATCAGGCCCTCTGCTCGCTGGGGAGTCTGCTTCTCCCTCTCTCTGTGCTCCCACTCTCTCTCAAATAAATAAAATCTTTAAAACACACACACACACACACACACACACACACACAGTTGTTATAGAAAGAGAATCATCATCTCAGGAAACTGCTAGCGTTGGGTGGGCATGGGGAGTGGAGGGTGCAGGGTGGGGGACAAATGAATGGAGAAGGACCCAGGGCTGAACCGAAGTCCAGATCAAAATTAGGACTATCTGGCATCCACCTGACAAATTCAGTGCTTCCAGTATTTTTATTAAATTATCTTTATTTGATATGCTTGCGTGCTCAGTGCTGTAAGGAGCTGCCCATTCTAAGTTTGCCCCTTCCCCACCCTTGGTTAGGGTTTTGGGCCATGGGAGTGGGGGAGAGGGGGCCATCAGTAAGCCATCTTCTACCTAACCTTCTTTCTGGGACCATTCTCTATAGGCTCCTGCGTAGTTTCGAGCCCTGTGGAAACAAAGCGGGTGAGGAAAGACTGGTCTAGGAGGCCGTCCCCAGTCCCTGTCCAGCTAGCACCCGACGCATTCCCCATACCCTGTGTATCCAAGGCCTTGGGCCAGCTGCGTGGCCTGCAAGCCCCGCCTGCCCATCTGACAGAAGAAAATGAGGTTCTCCTCTTCCAGCTTCGGCTTCTCGGCGGAATACAAAGCCTGGAAAGCAGCGGGCTCCATCTGCAGGGCACTTTCCAGCTCAGATACTGGGAGGAGTCGAGGGGAGAGAAAGGAGAGCCGGCAGTGGGCGATATCAGGTTCAGACCCGGCCTGGAAGGACTGGGTCCTGCAGCCCCAACAAATCTTAAGAAGGCCCCAAAACAACCTAGGAGGCCCACTCCCACTCCGCTCCAACCTCCAGGACCAGACGGGCCCACCTGCGCGGGAAGGCAGCCAAACAGCTGAACGGGAGCCCCCTCCCCAGCAGCGAGAAGCGGCGGGCGGGTACCCAATCTTGGGGAGGTCAAGGTAGAAAAGCGGGTCCGCCCCTTCCTCGCCGCCTGTTACCCGCTCAAGCTGGAAGAGCCAGTTCCGCTGCCAGGATTCGCCTCCCACCAGCCCTTCTCCAGGAAGCTGGGGTAGGGGGGCTTAAGAGGAATACAGGGCCCCCCGGGACCGCGCATTCGCCCACGCCGCCCTAGACGCCCCCTCCTGGAAGGCTTCTAGGCCACCCGCGCGGGCGTCCCCTCTGTCCCATACCCGGGATGTTGAGCGCCCCCGGGATGGTCCCCGCTGCCGCCTCCTCCCGAGATCTCACATCGATGAGCCGGGCCTGGCCCGAGGCCAGGAGCGAACGCAGTTCAGGGAGCGAGACCGTGGGCGCTGAGGAAGGAGGCACGAGAGCCCTGAGCGGAGCGGGCTGCCCGGCACGGCTGCGCGGCGCCCCTCCACCTGGCTGCGCCCCAGCCCGGGTGCGCGGGCGTGCGGACCCCGGAGCCGCGCCCCGCCGCTGCACCTCCTCCCGCGGGCCCGCAGGTAGGTCGGGACGAGGTCCCAGGTTTGTCCCCGCAGGTACCTCCAGCCATGGTGCGCGCCGCCACGGCGAGCCACAGGAATGCGGCCCCGAGCCGCCCCCTCGGTGCCCGCAGCATCTCCCCCGCCCTCCCCGAGCCGGGACCGGAACCGGAAATGGAGGCCCGGCCCCGCCCCCGCAGCACCTGTTCGCGGATACCCGAGGGCCAGGGACATTTTTGCGATTGCCCCGCGCGGGCGGGGCGAACGATACGCTGGTCCGGCCCAGGCGCAGCAATCAGGGTAAGGACCACAGGAGCAGCACCCCACCCTAACCTCGGCCCAACCCTTACAGGGCAAAATACAATGCGCCTCCCGCGCGCCAGCCCCGGGACCCACAAAAGGACGAAAACCAGGGATGACAGTGGCTCTGAATGTTTTATCTTTAAAAAAAAAAAAAAGAAGAAGAAGAAAGGAAAGGAAGAAAAGGAAAATCCATCCCCACGAGGGGAAGGCCCCACACGGGCCCCGGTCTGTTGTTCTCCCTGGCTCTGGAGACTTCTGCGCAGGCTGCTTGCCCGCCGACCTTCTCTTCCTGGGCCAACAGCCGCTGCTAAGCAGCCTGTTCCCCACTTCTGGCTACAGCCTAATCCCCAGAGTCCTCAAGTGCACAGCTGAGCTCCCGGGGAAGTGGAAGCGCCTGAGTCCTGGGGCAAGCCGGAGCATCGCTTGTGGGCAGAGACCCTCTGCGGGCACTGTCAGCAGGCACAGGGCGAGCCCCCACGTCGTGTGTGTCCGGTATCCAGCGCGGGGACAGCACATGCATCTGCGGGAGCACAAGGGCCCCGGGGGTGGGATGGGGGGCTATGTGGCGGGCGGGGCCAGGCTGTCAGTGTGCCCCCACGTGTGTGTTTCACACCCGCGCAGGCAGCTCTGTCTGGGGCCTGGGTTCAAAGCCCTGCCGTCTCAACTCCCCCGGAGCCCCCGCCAGAAGCGGGCAGCGAAGGAAAGGGGCACGGGGTTAGCCTGTTGCTCCTGGGCTAGGTGCAGTTCTCGGAAAGGGGTGGCGGGACCCAAATCCCCCAAATCCCCACAGTTAATTGCTGTCATTCTTGATGACGACCTCGACTCCGTGGTGCCGCAGCTGAGCTCGGAGCAGCAGGTTCTTGTTTTTCAGATCTTCCACCTGACATGGAAAAGGGGGCCACGGAGAGTGAGGAGAAAAACTGGCCCAGCCAAATCCCGGACCAGATCCAGACCCCTGCTAGTGACGGGGAAAAAGATGAAGGCCTCTCTATGGACACCAGAGGCAGGTGTCCCACAGCAGCTCGCTGGCCATGGACTTGGGGAGGGGTCTGACCTGCTGTCGAAGCACGTCGTTGTCCAGCTGCAGCTGGTCAAGACCCTGCAGTTCTTCTGACAACCGGTGGTTGCTCTGTCGAAGCTCCTGGATGTAATCACAGGCTTTGGACAGAATTCCACCTTTACTCTGCAAGAAAAGGCAAGCGAAATGAGGATTAAAATAGGTGCTACCTGGTTTGCCTTCCCGTGGCACACTCACACTCTGGACCTCCTTTTCCCCTAAGGACAGTGGCAGAACGTTTCATAAGGATAGAGGAACCTTGGAGAAAGGTCAGCAGGAATTCCTGCCCTGTGCCCTCACTACCATGTCTGGAAACACCACCAGGAGACAGAAGTCAGGCATCCTGCCCACTCCCAGGGTCCTTCCATGACCTGGCCAGATTTGGTGCTCTCCATGGAGCAGTCTGGGATGATCTTGGACAACTGCACAATCCAGTTGTTAATCTTGTCTCGGCGGCGGCGTTCAACTGGGGGGCAAAAGGGAGGACAAGGTGACTCAGTGAGAACTCACCACAGGCTCCGTCGAGCTACCTGAGCCCTCCTGCTCAGACACCACGGCTGTCCCCAACCCCACCAACTAGTACCCACCTTCATTGTGCTGAGCCCTGCGTTTCTCATCCCGAGTTGTCCTGGGAGCTTCTGACTTCCTGATGACAAACCCCAGGGTGGCCAGAGTAAGGGAAGGACAAAACATAAGATTAGAGGTTGGGGTCAGGAATGACACAGGAGTTGGTAGGGACTGAGACCACCACGGCAACGGAGAAGGAGCGGGGGCTACTCACGGGGAATAAGGGTGCGTCCTGGGCGCAATGGAGCGCTGGCTTCCTCCTTGCAACACTTCTTGGGGTGACATCATCACAAAGAATTGGCCTGTGAAGGTGGAGGTTAGGCTGTGTCAGGATGTGGGACTTAGGAACCGCATCAAGCTCTGAGGCCAAGGTCCTAGCTAGGATCCTCCTCTGGAGGGATCCTTCCTCCTAGGATCCTTCCTCCTGCTGGAAGGGCAGCCCCAGACTCACTGCCTGCCCAGGTCTCGGTGAGCATTAAGGGGTCCCAGGAAAGGCCCACCCCCAATTCTAGCCCCTCCAGTCGGCAGCCCCGTGTAGCTCACCGGTGCCGGGAGGGGTCGCCTGCCCCAGCAGGGCCTCCGAGCCTTGGGTAGTAACAACAGCTGCTGTACTCCCCGATGTGGTACCCCCTGCCCCATCCCCCACTGCAGTGCTGGGGAAGTAAGTGTAGTGCGTCTCGGCAGCCGTCCCCTCTGCGTCAACAGCATCATCACTGGTGAATGCACCCTGGATCACCGCCTGGGGAAGGGAACAACAGAATGGAGTCCAGTGTCCGTCAGGTGCTTCCCACTGAGCTACCCTGAAGCTTCTATCCCTGGAGGGAAGGAGGGAGAAACATCCAGAAAGGGAAAACCTGGTGCCTTGGGACAAGGCAGCCCCAGATGCCTCGCCACCTCCAGCCCCGCCCCAATCTCACAGGTTTGGCTTCACCTTACCCCTCGGAGCTCCAGTCCCCTCACCAGCCCAGGCCCCCATACCTGGGTCATGGACTGAGTGGCAGGATAGCCACTGATGGCGCCAGTCCCTTCAGTCTGGCCATCCAGCTGCCCCTCAGACACCTGGATCACCCTGTACATCACCTAGAAGCAGGAGGAAATGGGAAATTGGGGAGAGAGAATACAGGAGTCAATGCTGGGGGCCCCAGGCCTCTCATAAAGCTTCTCTCGGACAGAGCCCTGAAATAAGAGTGCTTCAGGGACAAAGCTTCAGCCATTCCCCCTTCTGTCCCCAGAGGTTTTGGCCAAGCCTCCACCCCATTCGGACCTCTACTCCAAACCTCCTCCGCCCAGCCCCTCCCTCCCACCCTGCAGGCGTCCCCGTGGTCACCGCCTCCTCCAAGCCAGGTCTCCCCCGACAGGCTCATCACCTCCCTCAACCCCAACCCCCGGTAACACCTGCAGGCAGCTGGCCCCCTCCCTTACCTGGCCCCCATTCTCAGTTCGGAAGACGTACTTGACGTTGGGGTCAGGGAAGGTGGCAGCTGACTGGATGCTGGCAATAGCCACGCTGGTGGGGTCCTCCCCAGTTGCCACTGCACCTGAGTTAGACGAGCAAGGAAGAAGCCTGCGACTTACTGCCTTTCTCCCCCTTCCCACCTGCATGTCACTCAGAAGGACCAGGGTGCATGGCAGCTGCGCCCATGGGGGATGGGGAGAGGCCAAGCTGGGCTCCTGGGCTCAGGTCTGTTTCAACCACTCACCCTCCTGAATTTGCACTGTCCCCTCTTCCGCTTCAGCTGTTTTCTGCTGCCTGTTTGTGACGGGACAAACGAAAGAAGGAGGCAAGAAGGGAAGAAAACGTTCACTGACCCAGTAACATACGGCTTCCAGACTCAATGGCATTCCCGACAGACGCCGGGTTAGGTTAGAACAACAACAGCTGGTATTTACGGAGTGTTTACTGCGGGCACAGCACTGAGCTAAGCACTTCACACGCGTTATTATTCAGCACTCAGAACGGCACAGTGGGGCAAGCAGCGCTACTCGCCTTCTGTGGATGAGACACCAGACCAGGCAGCTGGTCAGGGACGGGGCTGAGATCAGATTCTAGGTCTGCCCGACTCCAGAGCCAGCGCTCTTAGCCGTTCTGCCTCCTCCCGCGCCTCCCATCTCCCGCCCGCCGCTTCTTCACTCACCCCTTCATCTCTCTATAAGGCGGCACATCCGAGGAGCCGGTCCTTCTTTGGAGTCTTCGAATCTCCTGCCTCACAGGCCTGAGTGCTAAGTCCTGACAGAAACCAGGGAGTTTGCAGCTGAGTCCGGGAAACTGAATAGTCTCTCTGTTTCAAGAAGCTGGGCTCCAGGAAGACTCAGCCAAGTACATAATGCAATCAATCTACAGAGGACAGTCGGTTTCCTCCATTCTGATGCTGAGAGGTGGGGTATGGTGGTTGAAAAAGCAACCCTACAGTGTTTCTCAGCCCTCCATTATCGCTTCAAGTCACGGTCTTTATACTTAAAGATGGAGGAACAACATATTTCTAGATGGACCATGACTAAAGTTATCACGATACACCATGTTTAGACCACCACTATCAAAAACCAGGGCCACTGGACGCTGGGGCTTCTTTGAGCTTCTGAGCCACATACAGGACCCAAAAATTTCTGTTCTCACACCTAGGAAGGGGAAACCTCCCTGAACCATAAAGAACATAGTTGGCCCCTTGGGCCTCATTCTACTTGGCCCCTTGGGCTCCTGCTTTGGAGTGTCTGGATTTATGTCATTTGTTAGACACCCTAAAGTCCAAGTGTGTCATTTGCAAGCTCCTTCTATTTTCTTCACCAAGCCTTCCCCTAGAACTACACAGTTGCTAAAATGTTGCCATGACAACTCCAAGTCAACTGAACCTCAGCAAGAAGGGAAAAAACTCCAGGTTCAAGGTTCGGAAGGAGAGACAATGGAAAAGGAACTCATTTGCACGGTGCCCGCCTTAGGACCCTGACACCCAGCCAAGAGGGCAGGAAAAAACAATGAGCTGAGACAGATGCCTCCAGAAAAGATACAGCTACCCTGTACAAAGGAACAAATTTATCCCCGCACGAACGGTAAGATTTTGGTGTAGTCTCCACCCAGAAGGTCCCCGAAACCTTTCCTATCTAAGGCAAATCTTCAACGGATGGGCCCTGGAAAGTCCACATCGAAGGAAAGCGTTGACCAAAACAAACAAGCAAGCAAGCAAACAAAAAACCAAAACCCAGAAAACAAAAACAAA